TTGCATATATATATATATATTAAATTTTGGAAAAGAATTCTCTTATAACTACGCAAATTATTTAGTATATTTGATGATTATTTATAGAAAGTCGGAACATTAATTCAGTTTTTATTATAATATAATATAATATAGTATTATAATATAATAGTAACTATTAATATATTAATGTACTTTTGATAAAAATTAATAGAAATTGTATATAAATCGTTGATTGATTAATTTTTAAGAAGAACGAGTGTTCTTTGATATACGCAATACGATTTTAATAACATTTTTCACTGCCTACGCGAATCTTATTTCACAAAGGCGCTGTGGCAGCATTATTATTTTATAACTATTCGCCGCGTTTAATATGTTCGACAAAGTGGCATTCCTAAAGTTTGTCAGGCAATTTCTCATCCCGATGTCGTTATCGTCTTAAAAAATAATATACCAAAAAAGATAAACGTTGGTCAACGCTATAGTTAGTGTTATAATAATATTATCTTTAAAAAATGAAGACAAAATTAAGTATTTTTGACATTTTTTGATAATTTATATCATTATTAAATAATTTTATGAATTTATGAAATGAATGAATTTATAATTTGCCATTAATGGATTAGATATTTTAATTCAATATTTTATGTGTAAAAATTCGCGTTCAGATGCAATTTTTTTTAAATTTTTGATAGAATAATTTTTTGCAATATTGATATTATGAAATATAGAAAAATATTATTATATTATTAAAGTGTTTATAATCAGTACATCGCAAATACATGATTTATTATTAATGAAGATACCGTATTGTATACTAACAATAAAATTTTTGCCAAGAAACATTTCCGAATTTAAGTACTTAATTCGTTTACTTAATTTGTCAGCAATATCGCTATTTAACTATTGCCAAAAATTAAAGCTTTCATGAAGAATACAAGACTTCTTAAAAAGTTGTTTTTCTAAGAAAGTATCAACTGGCGTATGTCCATGATTTAAATTGAATTAAGAAATTGTAGCGTGAGAGGCTTGTATATATTATAATTTTAATGTAAAACATTAATAAGATTCGTATTCAGAACGCGCTTTTATAATTAGCGCGTTTAACATACAGTTCACATATACTACAGAATTTCATACATAACGTGTATTTATCGATAAAAACGCATTCTGAATATCGGTCTACAGCTCTGATAATTCGAATGTTATTGGTAGTACGAGAACATATCTTGTTCGAAAACTACTTTGTGACAATCTTCATACGATAAATTAACCAAAGTTTTCACCATCGGTGTTTACCAACGTTCTCTTTCCGTATGTTTTGCCAATTCGTCCACCACCGTCGTGGATCCCGTAGGCACGTCGCATACCATAAGTCGCTCGACCGCCAATCAAACCACCGAGGCTATTTTCCTGTTTCTAGCTCTCGGTAGTAGGCGGCTATATTCTACGCTACGATGATAACCTGATTAGCTTGGCCTCGAACTAGTTCGGAGATGCACCGTAGATACAATCGGAATCGGAAATGAGAAAACGAAACTCAATGAAGTTATATAGAAAATCAAGTTTTTCACGTGGGAATGGTCTTTTGTCCAGCACCCCTTCATCACACTTTTGCCCCTCTATGCATTTGTACTTTGCTGCCCTGGTCCAAATCTAGGGAAAACCAGCCTTTATCGTATCTTCTCCTTCGTATATAAATATATTTTGTCGATTATATATATTAGGAAATAAAGGCGAATTTGTTTCTTTTTCTATTCTATATAGATTTCGCCGCGAAAGACAACACACTGCCGATGTAGAAAAGGGTGATGGCAAAGATGCCAAGGATGGCGAAACGTCGCAAGCTAAGAAGCTGTCTACCACCGAAGAAGGTGGAACAACTGTTGCAAAAACGCGACCCGGCAAGTGGGGGCGTTTATTAGGTAAAATTAAAAATAAATTTTTATTAATCTTAATTGCATGTAAAAAATCAATTAAATTAATGAGATATATAATGCGCAATCGAAGAATGAAATTAAAATCGTACATTTATTGAGAAACTTATGAAAACGCTTATAATACTACAGGTAGTTCAAGTTTGGACACTGGTAGCGAATCGGGTACGGCTGGCGATACATTCAAGCGATCTCTTAGCGCAAGAGACTCGCGCCCGAGTTCCAGCGCCGGCACCAACAAAGTCTTCCCGAAGCTAGGCAAATTGGGAGAGCGCACAATCGAAGAGAGCGGCGATAATATCGAAAATCAGAAGGATGCTCAACAACAACAAGCACCGCAACAACAAACCCTCAGCGTGGACTCAAAGCAGTTGCAGCTGCGACGTCTAGAAAGCTACGATGGTGGTCTGATTACACAGCAATCGAGTCACGAAAGAGAGATTCTTGCGGCGGTATTGGAAGTGAAAGTGGATTTAAAGTTAGAAGTACAAAGGGTAAATCAGCGGCTAGCCAAAATCGAAGACATGCTGCAGGCACTGATGAACAAATTGCCAGCCGCCGGATCGTCCAGTGGTATTAATGGCAGTTCTCAGCAACAGAAGATTCCGAGCTTTACTCTGAGCGGTGTTCAGAGTCAGTCACCTGTCACTCCGAGCGCAATAACATTGGTTCAGTCCGCGACTCAGACTACGGAGTATAGACCATCGATCGCTACCACGTCGACATCCACGACACCGAGCGAGGGATATCGGGAGCAGTCGACGACGACGGAGCGAATATCAAAGAGCGGTCAGGAACACCACCATCATCATCACCATCACCATCAATCGTCGTCATCGCGGGATGTCAGCAAGGAACTGTTAGAGCGGCTTGCGCAGGCTTCCACGTCGCGCGGTGACGATTCGAATGCCCTGGGACCGCTTATCCTGCGAAAACGCCGCAGTAAATCGCGCAATAAAGGTGCGGCACCGCTCGCTCCTCTTGCCACGCAGCCGATGAGCCCATCAGAAGCCACGGAGACTACCCAGATGCTTGAGTGTACCGATGATCGGGATTCAAGCAGTGGACCGACCGATAGGACTGTCACAGACAGAACCGCCGAAAGACCCGACCGTAAAAGACCACCGCCCAGACCGAGGGAGTATTTGTGAAAGTTCTTCTTGCGTCGATTATTTATTTTCTTCCTCTCCTTGAGACAATCTACCGCGACGCGGTCAAAAAACTTCATTCAATACGCTTGGTAGTTTAGCCTTTCGTAAGAACATGAGTCCGCTGTACGATAACGCGCTCACAGTTATCTTATTCTAAAACGTTCATGTATGTACATCGAACAATAGCCATTGTTTCGTTTCTCTCTCGTTTGTATATTTGCATGCATGAACAATGGCACGTATCGTGGCTTATCGTTTTCGTGCAACTGGAAGATCTAGTTGTTCTGGAAGATCTATAGTTGTTGGCTTTATGCGCGTGCTTGAACTTCTTCGATTACATTCGAGTATTGAGTGTGAGTAAGTTTATTCTGCTTCTTCTGAACAGCGGACATCTGTTAACGAATATAACGATAATTATGTTCATATATCGACTCTGATAATATAGACATAAAAGATATTTATAAAAAGAAGAGCTTCGTTAATTGCTCTTCAAAAATGAGTGGAGGGAAAGGTGAGGTGACTCAAGATTTCACGATGAAGCGCCTCGAGCTAATGAAACGCCAGCGTAGTTCTACTTGGCCAAAAACGGCATGATTATTGAGGAAACGATGTAAAGAAATGCATCTTAAGTACGAATTACTCGCTAGCGACGGCTTCTTCGAGACACATCGAAACTCTCCGAGGGAGTGTATCCATCCCTGTATACACATACACATATACACACGTAGGTAGATATAGATTCACATGCATCGTATAGTGAATTTCACAGTAGAGTTTCATAGCGATTACGCTACATTTCTAAGCCTCTTTCCGGCCACAAGAACAGTCACATCGACACCAAGCCATCTCTCTTAATAAGGCAGCATGGCATTTTGTAATTATTAAGCCAAGCATGTGATTCGTGATATAATTTGTAATGGTGGTGTATAACCAGATTGTCAAGGTTGTATAGTCGGAACCGACCAAGTATATTAATCTTCAATAAATATCATAAAGACATAAAGTGGATTTTAGGATCGAGGACATTGAGAATATGTTACAGAAATATAAAGTAAAAGCTAATATAGTACAATAAAATAATTAATCTTACATATAAAAATGGAATAATTAAAATTATTCCTCTTTCAAAAATATTTCACGGCTTTTTTATTAAATAGTAAAGTAGTAATAAAAAAATAACAAAATTTTAGTACGTATTATAGATTCCATGATACTGAAATGTATGGTACCGCAAATGTAAGTGACTTGGTACAGTGTAAGTAACTTAGGATAGTATGTACTTTTGTTAAATTCAGTCATGGTAACCATCCATGAGTCAATAAAGAAAATTTAAAATTTAAACTTTCTGTTTAGAAATTCATGGAGAGATATTACGATTGAATTTAATAAAAATACTTGTTGTCCCAAGTCATTTACATTTACGGTTCTTGTTGAAGACTTAAAGATCTAAACAGATAAATAATTTTTTTGGGATTCAAGTAATTAATGGATATAAAGATTTCTAATCTTCTCTGAAAAATAGAAACATTTCCGGAATAATTTTTTTCTAATATAAATTTAAACAAATTATTTTTAGTAAGTTATTGTCTCAAACACATTTATATTGCGTCCTCATTTTTTATTAATTCTACACGATTAAATTGAGTTATTTGAAAAAGACAACTGATTAAATTGAGAGTATATGTATGGTATTTAAACATATTTTCCTATAGACAAACAGAATATGTATTGCAATAGAGTAAAGGTACCTGAATCTAAACTCGAAGGCTTTATTGCGTCGATTTAATTTCCTTTGAAAGGAAATTGATCAACGATTTTAAAATATGTGATTTGACTACCGACAGATAGAGGAATTTTTATCTTGGTTGAAAAATATTTAGAAATATTTTTTTTAAATGTATATTTCTCTTTTTTACTTTAAATGCATTGAGCAGTGCTATCGAACAATGCTGAATAATTATAGAGCAGAAGAACGAAAATGAGAACTAATTGAATACTCGAAAGATCTCATCGTATTTGACAAATGGAATTGCAAATATGATCGTTCTATCCAAGATGGAACCGTCGACAAAATCTGTTGCATATTGCAAGTATAACTTAAACAGTTTCGATTGAAACCGTAATTTAAAAATTTTGAATAAATTTCACGTAGTCTAATTATTTTTGTTATATTTTTTAATTAAAAATTTTATCATTGTTATTTATTACAATACATATTATATACATATTGAAATCATAAATTACGAAAATATTTTTTATAACATTTTGTGTTGCTTTTTTACTTAATTATTTATTTGATAATTTAATCATATTGCATTTCACATGACGAATGATTATAAAGCAATGAACAAGTGTGATTTAACTTGAAAATTTGCTCTTCAAGTTAATGAAGATGTTAATTTGTCAAGAGAAATTACTCGTACAGATAGTATTGTTACGCAGAGATGGCGCTACATTCATAAATTCGTATGATATGTATACGAAGCCAAAACAGCAATATTAGATGTATATATCTTGTAATATGACATGTATATATATATTTGCATAATCATTGACCATGCAGACGTGGGAGGCGCGCTGCTGCTGCTACTGCTATAGACGAGAATGGCGTCTTTGCTAACAAAACAAGTCGACAATCAATCTTTTGCAAATATTTATTAGATTCAGCCTTATCGTATATATATATATATAATTATATTCAAAATTATCGTATAATTATATACGATTTTAAATTACTTGCCATTGCTATTTGCGAAAAAAGAAGAAACAAACTTGTTTTAACAGCGTATTATTTTTTACTTTTAATCACCTTGTTGATTTTATATTTTTATAGTTATGCAATTGTAAGAAATTAGTATTTTTCTATATTCAATCAAGAGCCGTGAAGAGCAAAGGCACAATTCTCATCACCGAAAACATTTGATCAAAACGAAAGTATAGACGCAAATACGTGCACACACGTAAAATACACATACACATATATTTGCGCGTGTACATATTTATATACATATATAAATATAATAAGAGGCAAAGAATATATATATATATATATATATAAATAGAGAATATATAATTTCATGTTATGAAAGAAAAATTATCGAAAAATCGAGAACTTTGTTAAATAGATTTAGAGACAGAAACGATATAGCTGGCTCTATCATAGTTTATATACTTATATGCAAAGAAAAAGATTTAACACTGTTGAAATTGTAGTAGTTAAGCCAATTAAACGATTAAGTCTATCGCTCATCGATTATATTGAAATGCGATACGCTGAAATTTCATACACTAATCATATCGCGCGGGCCGTTATACGCTAAAATGCTCGACTTTTGCAATTTCCACTCATTTTCGTGAACAATAGGATTTTAATTTACAATATATGGGATTATCATCCGTGTGTTTCAACCTAAAATATACCTGAATCTAGCGCTATTTTGAATGGCGTATATTGATCGAAATTTGTATTATCAAATAAAACTTAATCATTGCAAAGTCAATTAAACTTAATAATTTTGAAGTATTTAACATTCAGAATATTTTAATTTTCAATGAAATATTATAACTGTCGAAGTTATAAGTTATTATAACTGTCAAACAATATTTTTACTTTTTATCCTTTTTATCCTTTTTTATCCTTTTTTATCCTTTTTTATCCTTTTTTATCCTTTTTATCCTTTTTTATCCTTAATTATCAGAACTTACAAAATGTTTAAGTTTTTAATATTTAAAATTTTAATTTTCAAAAATAATTTCTATCATAACATATCACAAAACAAAATTAATTTTAAGTGCCATAACAAAAAAATAAATGATAAATATTTTTTACTTAGTTTGAATTAAATTAAAAAATTGAATAATATAATACACGTATTTTGTAAAACCGGTTTATGTCATAAGATCCGAAAGATGAAAAAAATTAAGAAGATGAAAATTCAATTTCTTAATTACAACTATCTTTCCTATACAATAATGAAAAACGTAAAATATTTGCATAATATGGAAACGCACGCGATGTGAATCTGAACGATAATTCCGCGCTTTATTGCTTAAAATTGTTCACCGACCGTAATGCTAGTTTTGTTTGAGGATCACAATTTCTATTTGTTACTATAAGATACAATAAAATATGCTTACAATTCAACGAACTCTAAATAGCAGCAGTATTTCTTTTAAAATCAATGCGATAAAGTGACAGCGAGGTAAGAAAAAAGATGTATAGAATTTCGATTAATACATAAATAAATGCGAGAGTTTGTTATCCAATTATTCCGTGATATTTATGCACAAACTTAAAGCAGTATCACTTTCGATCAGAGAAGATGATTTCTGTTAGCTCTGAAAACTATTATACAACCGAATGTATGACAAAAGATATAATACGATAAAAGTTAAAAAAAAACGAGAAAAGAATTTGGCGTTTAAATAAAAAATACTAATTGAAAGAATTAGCACAACATTTCTTTTATTATAGAATTCAGAGTTTCATTATCAAGAGAGAAAACAAATATAATCGCTTATAACAATATTATGAATATCATTGAGAAACCTTTTAACATTTGAATTCGATTCTTGCCAAAATTTATGTTATCTTCTCTTTCTTCAAAGCTAATTGAAATCTGCTAAATCTTTAATAAAACATATGTGATACTGCAGCTTTAGATAAATATTAATTATAAGTATAGAAAATACAGTAGTGTAATAATCTATATTTCTCAAAGAAAGAATATGATATTAGACAAAGAATTGCTCGTTAAATATTGCGCAGTTTTGTAGAAAAAAATCATGAGAGGAAAACAAAAACGAGCGTAAAAATAAACGTGCCCGCGTGTAAAAAGAAATAGCTTTCTCCGTTCGCGATCTGCCCAAATTGCTTTTAATATTTCACTGTTTGGTTGCGTTAATAATTTTTATCTATTGCGAAAATCTTTGCAAAAACTTCATCGAGGCTGTGCGATGAATTTTTTTTCTTTATTTTTTAATTTGAGGAATCATACAAACAAAATATAACATAGAAAATCCGTTTAGAATATTTGAAAATATTTAAAGACGGTCATATTTTTAATAAAAATATATTTTGTGATTCAAATTGTGCAGCTGGGCAGGTCGTTATGGAATGTAAACAAGAGAATATGGATGCAATACGATTTTACGATTTTTTTATATCAGCTACTTTGCAATAATATGAACAATCGCCATTCGAACGACAATGTCGAAACATGAGTCGTCGTCCCTGACCTTATGTGCTTATTCGCTCGAAACAAAAAGTTTCAAGAAGTCAATTCTTGCGACTCGTTACAACGAGTTATTACACGGCATGTACAAATCCGCGTTCGAAAGTTGCTGCGAAAGCTTTGTTGTCCTTGATCATCAAAAAAGTTATTCCCATATTATATAATTGTATTAAACTTTATATTTTAGAACAAGCGAAAAGCCTGTTAGAATAAAACGTATCGAATTTCATTATCGAGTTGGTTTATCAGCGATATTCATAGATATTTATATTTTAGTATAAATTAATTTTAATCAGAATCAGAAAAAAGCGGCGATTCAAATCTTAATTTTTTCCAACCCATGCGACATTGATTAAAATAAACTTTAAAATGGTGTAATTTATGTATATTACTATTATGTTATTATGTATACAGCCATGACACGCTACGTAGCATGTCACAATCACCGCGTGCGATCTCGAGAGCCTTAAATGTAAGGAAATTCGGAATGACGATGACGACGAGAGTATTCGCAACGACCGTCGAAGAAGCCGTGATAGGTATTGTACGAATTTCCTGAAAAAAAAAAAAATGATTGAAAACAGAAAAACTATAAATATATAAATACATATATACGTACATATATACATATATTAATAGAAGGGGGGAAAAGATTTTTGCTATAACACTTCGTCCATTTTTCTATATGGGCAGCTCGTTGCACTCGTAACACAAATCCTTGGCCTTTGTAAATTATTATTCCCTTCAGCCATTTTTCCAACGAGAAACACCCTCTGTTTTCACGATACAATGCAGAAAGTATGTGTACATCGAAGAAATCGAACGGAATCAAACAGAATCGAATTTGATTTTTGTGCCCCCTATGACTCTCTCTCTCTCTCTCTCTCTCTCTCTCTCTCTCTCCGTTTCTTTCCTGCAAAATTGCCTACTAAACGATAATAATCTCTTGGGATTCGATTTCTACGATAGCGTGACCACTCTTTACTAACAATGGGACTCTTGTAAAGCTTTGCGGGGCCCAACAGAAAGCGATCTGATGGGTGGATTTAAGTAAGAATTTGCGAGAGCATTTTCTCTGCCTCTCATAATTTGAAATTGAAACGATCATTGACGATTGATGATATGACAGATAATACGTATCTCAGGTATTAATGTTAATTCCTGAGTGGAAAGCACGATGACATCGGCATAACAAGCATGACGACACGTTGCAAGAGAATCGAATGATTTAATGAGAATTGAATGATTCAATGTATCTCATAGAAATAGTATCATTTCATTTACGATCAATTACGTGCAAGAGCGAAAGTCGCATAGGATCATTGATTTGCGTTCAGCAAACGTTTAGTCTTCCTATTGTCCCCAAATTCACGCGTTTAAAGTGTTAATTGTGTAAGAAATATGACAGAGAACAAATACGAAAAATTCGTCCAAAATATTATCCAGCAAATCATCGTCAATGATCGCTTAAAAAAATATCCTTGAGAAATCAAATTGTAGCATCGAAACGAAGCCTGGCTAGAATACTCAATGAAAAAGCTGCTTTCAAACTTATAATAAAAACATTAAAATCTATATTTCCGTTGTGTTTTATTTCGAAATATATTATATGAGGATCCATTATTCATATCTTTTCGCATCTTTTTTATAAATAATGAAAATTTCTTTATTAAATAATTTATAAATTAATATACGTAAAACTTATTTCTCTAAAACTTAATTAATTATTACTTAATTAATATAATTTTATGTTAGATTTCATAACAATGTTGCAATTGTGAAACTTATTATGTAATTCTAATCAAATAATCTTTATGTTTAGTAAAAAACAATTTACTTTAATCGATCTTTACGCAATTTGTTTTTTGACGTAAACAGTTGATTCAATATATATATATATTCTACTGAATATCAGTTGAATATATATATTGAATTGATATATTGAATCAATTTGTTTAACATAATAGAATGTTTGTTCTTAAAAATTGTTGCTACTATTTAAAAACGAATCTCATGTAGTTACGTCGACTATTTATCTTCTATTTTAATTGTTTCTCCACAACGTGAATGTAAAATCCAGGATTCTCAATCTGATTGAGCGGTTTAAAATCACTGTAAATAGTGTGTTTCGCCCTGTGGCTGAATATTTCGGTCAACATGTCGCGAAAAACTGTCAATCTGTGAGGATAATATGACAATCTAAATTCGCTGATATATTCGGGATCTTTGTTTTCCTCGTCCAAAGTGACAATGTAATCCATAGTAACGATCTTCGGTTTTCCACAGACAAAAAGCACTGATGTCTTGATATCCGTCATATGCTGACTCTGCGATATGAAAAGTTGACAATTTTTAGTCCAAAATTTTCTCAAGTGACAAGAGAAAATTTTACATTTATTCATGTATTTCATACATTTATATGCCTCTAATACAATAATTACATTTGTTTTTACTTACATTATAATATATGCATTTTGGAGGAGTTTGGCCGGTTTTGATTATATAATCGTAATTTCTGTGATCGATGAGCAATAAGCCCCCCGGCTTTACACAACGTTCAAAATTTGCTAAGGCTTGTCTAAGAACAATGAAATACATATTTTATAAATAATAAAAATTCATAAAACATTCTGCATTAAGCTAATACGATCTATATGATGAATTTAATACCTCTGCTCTCTCTGATCATCAAAAGTATCAGGCATGTGGGCAAAACTATTTCCCAAACATATAACGGCATCAAAACCTTCTCCAATAAGATGGTTAATATCGTTGGATAGAGTTAACCAATTCGCTTCTTCGATTACTGTAATAACAAAAGATCAAGATAATAATAATTGCAAAGATATATTTCTTGCCAGACTTAAAGAATTTTTTTATAATAACATATATATATGAGAAAATTTTTGCTTTATTTTCTTGGACTTTTTTAAAGGATTTTATAAGGAAAGTATTTTTCAATAGTTTAAAACTAATTAAAGTATATGTTTGAGAATTATTATATAAATAATTTAAATATAATTGCTAGTTTCAATTTTATTGATATATAAATTATATATGTTTTCAATCATATTGAAATCACGAGATCAAAGGCTAGAAAGTAAAAAACGAAAAATTGCGATTGACCTTTGCTGATAAACATAAAGATCCTTTTTATACTTTTATTACTGATAAAGAAATTCGTTATAACGAATAAACAGTTACTGTTTTTGAACGATAAACAATTGTTGTATCTTGAACTACTTTATCTGGTTTCAATTTCACAATAATCTCGCGTAATTATATAATTAATATTTAATCAGATTCTGCATATGTTAGCAATAACAACTTTTACGTATAACGATCATAAACGCACATTCTTACATCATGTTATTTTGAGTTTGTATAGGAAGACGAATTAAATAGTTTAAGTTTTGAGATAGTTGTTAAGTTTTTTGTTTTAAACGAGTTATTTTATCATGTGAATCATTTCCTCTACACTGGAAACAATCCGCTGAACAAATAGTAATCTTACATCAACACAGTTAAATTTTCTCAATAATATAACTGTTATATATAATGTGTCATATTACACATTTACATTGTTAAATGAGAATTTATAACATTGATTGCTTGTATATCGTAATATTGTAATGTACTGTTCGTGTTTAGCGGCATTTTAGACAACAGTTCTGTATGTCTTAAAGCTTATATTGAATCAATTAATCACCTCAATCTACTCTAATGTAATTTTATCGCTTGAATTATCTTCCTTAAATTTTTTTCTAATTGTCTTTAGTCAAAAAATTCGATCTTATCGAAATATTAAATATCCAACTTGTTCACCCCAATTATCGAAGGCAGGCTCCTTTCTACGATCCCATCTGGATTTTAATGCGTACTTGAGCATTTTATCAGACGCATCAACGCTGACGACTTCAAAACCCTCTTCCAGTAGCATTATGGAATCAACGCCAGTACCGCAAGCAACATCCAATATTCGACGACATCCCTTCTGCCGCAGCAGACCCACCAGGAAATCCCGATAGTTCTGTGTACGTTGATTCTTATCACCAATGAAGACCTCCCAGACTTTTGCCGCTTTGCCGTCTGCGTACTGATCTTTGACACCCTCAGCTGGCGTACCAAGAGACCGGGTACGAAATACGGAATCCACCATCGCGAGGATATGAGACCTTACAACAGAACTATGGAACCAACGCACATTTTACCAAATGTAATTGTAATATGAAAAGACAAAAATATATCGAAAAAAATTAATGAACTAAAAAGGAATATTTGTCGCTATTTTGTCTTTGTCATTTCGATCAGTATATATCATATACATAAATGTATAGCACAAATCCCAGACAACAAAAAATCTAAAATCGAGACATAAGACGTCTTAGGTATTTATAGTCAAATCTTATATTTAAGACCGTCTTAAATACAATCTTAAGATGTCATGAATCAATCAGAAAACTGCCTTAGCGACTTAAGACATTATTTAAAACGGTCTTAAAATAAGAACCGACTATAAATACCAACTTTAAAGATGTCTTTGAGACAAGATGTCTTTAAAAAAAAATGTCCTTTAAGACGTCTTATGTCTCGTTTTGGGATCTCTTTTTATTTTTCTTTTTTATTATTTCTTTTCTTAATTATACTTATTATACGACCATGTAGATTTAATCACGAATATATTTACTCTCATTATAGTATCTTACATAATCTCAGTTGACTATTTTTCTTATTATCTCACGTTAGGTTTTTTTTTATTACATTATATATGTATATATGCTAATTGCTTTTTTAAAATAATCAGAGATTAATTGTGACGAAATTCCTATCTGCAACATTGAGATGGCTTATATCATACTGTTCCACATAAATTATTGTTATCTCACGTAATGTAATCAAGGGCTCTTGGCATAAGTCAAGCGTGCGTTAGATTTACACTAAGGACAAATGGGAGAAAGGTGATCTCTCCCTAGTTTCATATTACAATGCCACGTGTCTACCGGGAGTAATTCCATTGTCTCCTAGTATTTTCTATTTACTCCCGAGGATGTTAAGATCTAATTAAGCGTTCTAATTAAGCGCAGTGACGATTTCGATACAAGATTAAACGCGGAAACGTGTAACTAAATGTGTTAATGTAATTCTATGTCATCGACACATTCGACCTCAGTGACATACAGCGGAAGAATTCTTCGTGATAATCGATATTGATTAATATACATATGAAATATTCTATACGTATTATATATATATGTTATATATATGTATATATGATTATATATATTTATATTATATATATACTATTTTTATCATGTTTAAAACACGCAGATCCGAACTGAGAGAAAAGGGGAAAAGTGATCGATGTGATGCTCAACTTTACAAAATATAAAAATGATTAACGCATTACAATTGTATTTCGTTTGTATCTTAAAGAGTAAAAAAATAACAGAGAAATAAAAAATGGCAAGTATGTAAATTTTTTAATTTAAAAAACTTAACAAAAAGAAGAGCATAAATCTATAGCACAAGATATTGTTTGTAATATTTAATATATCATTACATTAATAAAATATTTTTTAGACGTCTCGGCCACAATCTGGCCATCTTCAGTAAAATCACAAATATTCGTAAAACGCAGAATTACATATATTTGACATTAAATTCAGCCGTCTTATAATATAACTATGTATAAACGTGTTCTTTCATCTTGTGAAGGTGCATCGTAGAAATTCTTCTTTTCAATAATGATTGTTCTGTATCTAAAATTCTAATATTATCCCAATCCAATTCGTGCATTTCATTCAATTGGTGGCGTGAAACCACTGACATTTCAGAGATGGATCTTCTTATGTCAATCTTATGTTCTTTGATTCGAATTTTTAATTTCCTTTTTGTTTGGCCAGCGTAAGAAGACTCACAATTTAAACAATTTATCTTATAAACTCCATGGTCCTCTTTACACAAACGATCTTTTCTAGTTTTAATAAATTTATTTATTCTAATAAATTTATTTATAGGTTTATAAGTAATATTAAAGCCTTGACTATGCGATAATTTGTTAAATTTTTCCGATACTTTACTTAAATATGATATTAAAAAAAACTTTCTTTAAATTGGAATTAGAATCGTTTTCATTATTATTACATTCACTATTTTTATCTAAATTCGTTCTATTTTTCTAAAGTTTTAATTTTGTTTTTTATTGTTGAAAAAATGAATTCCAGAGGATAACCATTCGTTAGCAGAATGAACTAAATCAGAAATATTTTTTCCTGAAATTTTGGATAGGATAAAAACAATATTTTGTCTAATTGCCCGATGATTACATCCCTTTTATGTACTAATGAATGATTCAAATAATAATTCAAATATCTCCCTGAATTAGTAGTAGGTTTTTTTATAAATATCGAAGATGATTCTTCCTTCTTGTCTCAGTTTGACATCTAAAAAATTAATGCCATTTTCGTCGCCAAAATCAATTGTAAATCTTAGCCTTTCATGATATAAATTAAACAATTCCAGAACATTCTCTACTTTGTCTTTATGCACGGACAATACAATATCATCAACATAACGGAAATAAAAAGACGAAACAATATTATTGGTCGTAATAATTTCTTGTTCTAAATCTTGTAGAACAATATTCGCTAATATAGGGGACAATGGAGAGTCCATTGGCATGCGAAAAATCTGTTTAAATATTTTTTGTCAAATTTAAAAAATGTAGAGTTAATTATAATCATAATTGTTTTTACAAACTCATGGAAAGGAATATATTAATGATAGGTTAATTTTTTAAATTAGAATCTGGAAATTCTTATTCTACATTCTTGCAATATGATAATTGGCGCTGCAACATTGTTGTACGATGCACCTTCACAAGATGGAAGAACACATTTATACATACTTATATTATACGGCTGAATTTAATGTCAGATATATGTAAAAGATAAGAATATGCAAACAGTTCAGTAAACTCACTTTTTTAACAACTGGAAAAGAAAAAATTTAATTAAACTACAGCAATATACGTATAAAAATAAATAAAATCGATACAAATCTAAATTTAACAACACAAAGATCAGATATTTTTTTCCTTCAAAAGTATGCATCAAGTTGATCTCTATAATTGCACTTATTATTTCTTCTGTTATGAAACATCATACCTCCAACAATTCGATCCGAAGAGGAAACTCTCGTCCGATACTGAATATCAATACAAAAACTGCATTAAATGAAAACTGCTGCAGTGATACAGCAATCACCGCATTTATATACGTCGTGATAATAAGAGTCGCTGCGATAATATGCGGATTCGCACACCGTCACAAGCCAATGTGTGATTCTACTGAATTACTTCTTAATATGATGTAATAGTACATGATACTGACAGTAACGTTCTGTTTAGTAACGTTTGATAAAAACGAACAATTCACGCAAGTCATCAATTATATCTGGGCAATTAGCAAGTGCCTCACTTTGTATTCAACTGTCAATTAAATATTGCCAGTTACTCGCGACTCTCAAATCTCTCCTCGTAATCAGAATTCAACATATAACGCTCTTATTTCTCTGTATTATCTTTTTGCGAATACAATAAATTTTTATTAGCTACAATGATATGTGTGTACAAGTGGCAACTGATAAACAATATTATGTCGGATGCAATTTTTGTTAACAGTTTCCGAAAGCTTCAAAAGTTATGGGAGAAAAATAGGCTCTCAATATGAGGTGTGCCACCATCGAAGGTAATGCTGAAGATAATCATGTAAATAATTTGATTATAATTTTTTCTGTCAATGTAATGTGTTCACTGTGCGATTGCGGTATTCATTTCAGTACATTTATTTTGTTTCTTCTATTTGACTATATTTAAAATCTTCTCATTTCTTATCAAACGAACTATTTTTTTGTTCGAAGTTCGCACAAATAAATATTGTTGTCTGATAGCTCGAAAATTCGAAACTAGTGTATTTCACATACTTTGTCACAATAATAGATGCAGGAAAATGTATATACAAGTATTAATGCAAATATCGTTGATAATATTTATTTCTTTGATATATTCTAAAGATTACGTATTTCAATGTATAGAGAATTTATAACGTCATGTTACGTCATCATTATCAGGATAGTACATTTTATATGACACAAGCGACGAGTTGATGACTTGCAAGTCAATAATCTAGCAGATCTAGCTGTAGCGAATAAATAAAACTAGAAAAATAATCGTAATGTGTGTTTTTACAATATTTATTTAATATGATACATATACGAGGTTTGGTTAATATAAAAATGGACGTTTGCACGTAAAAAAAAGAAATAGCGTTCTGAAATATATTAATAATATATTCCAAGAATAATGGATTCTTTATTGAAGTCAACAGAATATTCGTACATTTCTTATAATTACAATAAATACATAACAATAGGATGAATCAATTATTCTTAGTTTATTATGATACTTTAAGTACTACATATTTTACAAGCATAAAAAATGCATTATTATTAACTTTTTCTGTAACAAGAGGAATTACGCATGTGTCTGTGAATTACTCAGTATGCAAATGACAAGCTTAATTATAAACAAAAATAAAAATATTTACCTTTATAAACGTGAAGGGAAGGGCTATACAATATCTCTATTTCAGTTATTGATTGTTCTTATTTTAAAGAGAATACAATCGAGTATAAATTGGCAGTCATGTAGTCAAAGATTGTTATGTATCATTCAACCTCTTGTTTTTATAAACTTATATCTCAAAATACATAACTATTACTTAAATGCAACAAAGTCAATGATAGAAAATATATTCTTTTCATAAAGGAAAAATTTATGATACTGAAATACTTTTTTTGTGTAACGATTTCAAATAATGAGTCGTAAAAAACTTGAATAAAAATGCTCTTAATATATAATTACATAATTCTATTTAATCATTTATATTATTCTTGTTATCTTCTTCCTTCGTAACAGAAATAGGAAATCGACGGTATTGCGTTTTTTCTTATGTGCTTAAATGTTTCAAAATTTTGCCGTTAAATTTATGAACTTTATTTAGAAATATACACAGAATCTCTTCAAATATAACGTTTATATGAAAAGTATTGATTATATGAAGTGCGTGAAAAATGTTAAAGTTCACAAATGAAGAATTTCTAAGTAAATCATTAATTATGCTTAATATTTGGAGTCGTGCACAACAATCTGTCGAGTGCAATAGATTAGTTAAAACACTAACAAGATTTAATTCATTTTCTGAAACTATGCAATGATCAGATGAAGATGTTGAACTATATCACTTTGTTAGATGCAGCAAATTTTTCCTGCGCTCTCACCCAATCCTGACTTTATAACAATTCATACTCTCATATATTTTTCAAATCATCTGGCAGTTCATTCTTAGGATGTTTATTTTCAAAGTGTTGCTTGTAAGTCTTAGGATCTGGCATTTGGGCCTATAAATAAAAAAAAAATTTGTGTCATATCTATGCCAATAAGCTTCTAAAAATTTACAGATAGCTAAGAATCTGACCTTGCATACAGTACACACATGCACAAGTGCTTTCTGCGCTGCCTTTTTTTGATCATTGGCACTGTGTCCTTGCTGTTTCTTTAGTTTCGCGCTTTTTTCTGCCGCCTTAGCTTGAGACTGTATCTTTTGTTGTCCACGAGCCATTCTAGAAATAAGAAGAATCCACAGATAAGTGGAAATGTAACATTGGCAAGGCGACAATAGCATAATCTTGTTTTATTTTTTGTTAACATGGGATTGAATTTAGAATATTAATCTAACATATCCTTCGTTCGGTACAGCAAACACAAAATTATTTGACATACATGTTAGTTGTAATACGTGTTGTATTACAGTTATATTATTGAGTAGAAAATTACAACATACATTAATATATAACTTTGTGTTTACTAAATATCTAACATCTCTCTCTTTACTAGGAAAAATCTAACTAATCATATCCTTCAACAGTTATCACCATCTGTCAATAGGACGAGTCTCCTTCTCTCTTTTTCTCTTATAATTGTAACTATCATCTTTCGAAATAAAAAAACAAAACCATATTGTACCCTACCTAGCTGCCAAAATGAATATCCGCGAAATTTACGCTCGCCAAAATTGTTTACGTGTCTCCCCGGTCGCGATAATCGCGAAAATTGTTACTATATGGCCCGAAGCAAGGTGTAAAATCACTCGTGGTCACTGGAAAAAAAAAGTACAGAAAAAATTTTCTAAGACGAGAGAGAAGGTAAGAGAGAAAGACAACGAGAGAAGCTCAGGATCTGTGATGTATCATCTGGGAGCTCTGCTCTCTCGCAAAATTTCTCTCATCAATCATCTATCTAGTGCAGATAGTGTAAGATAGTGCACTGACGTCTTACCTATCCGCAAACGGCGAATAGATGTGTTCGACAATTAAGGGTTCCTTCCGTTCGACGACTCTGATATTTCTTCCGTGATGACGAAAGCGCAGGCGGTACTCACCGATTATTACCGCAGCGAGAGGAATTCGTAGAGAAAGCTTTTCTTTAGGAAGGAAAAGCCAAGGCTGATGGAGAACAAGTAGAACGCTTTTCATGCGCTACGAGTACGCTGACGCGGGATAAATAGCGCCAATAGCGATCGTCAAAAGGGATCGCGTCACAGAAATCGCGTGTATCGTGAATGCCGTGGCAGCGATCAGCAACGTGTATGCTGTCGCTGGGCACATCTACGATTTTACGATAAGCTGAGAACAGCTGAGAGATCCGTGAGTTTCGGACTATTCTCCCCTCCCTCCCCTTTTGCCGCCGAAATTTGACAAGTTATTCCGAAACTGTCCGAAACTTCCAAGTCGCAACGCGATGCAACTTTCATTTTATGTGGACTGTTCGAAAATTTATTGCCGGTACTGAAAGTCTATAGTGTACGTAACGTAAACTATAGATTTTTAGAACCGACAGTCAATTTTGGAATATAGCTTTGATTGATATTCGTTGGCGCGTATACATATACAAAAAGTAAAGTTTTCAAATGTCAGACGCGCGACATTCGCGGTACTTGTCTACACCGTAAACAGCCAATCACATTTCGAGAATTGTGAGGGTTTAGTCGGTATTCGGGTGCGTTCCGTTATTCGCTGCAAGCCGAGAAAAATCTGAAGCTAGTATTCATAGTTGATTCTTATATTCAAGACCGTCTTAAGTAATGTCTTAAGTCGCTAATGCAGCCTTCTCTCTTTGATTGGTGTTCATGACATTTTAAGATTGTACTTAAGACGGTTTCAAATATAAGATCTGACTATAAATACCTGATGAGAGCTGCATTAACGTCTTAAGACATTATTTATGATAAGACGGTCTTGAAATAAGAACTGACTATCGACCTGAGAGTGGACATCCCAGCCTCTTTCATATACCAAACCTCGTAGGGTAAGTTCACGTTTTTGTTATTACGTAAATTAGACAAGGACAAACAATCAAAGTTGATTATTTGTATTTGTCTAATCAACGTAATAGTATGGAAAAGAATCACAAAAACGTAGACATTACCTTACGAGGTTTGGTACACGAAATAAACCGATATCCACTCTCATATTTTTCTCTGCTGCAAGTATTGAAAATTCATAGTTCACATTACGTATACTATTTTCAGTACTTACAGTGTAATAACGAAACGCAGCCATAGAGCGGTATTTATAATCGGATCTTATATTTAAGATCATCTTAAGTATTATACCTCAAGTATACCTCAAGATGTCATCAACCAATCAGAGGGCTGTATTAGCATCTTAAGATATTACTTGAAACGATCTTAAAATAAGAACCGAATGAAATACCATCTTATATCTTGAAACGTGGTAAAAATGACAAAAGTGAGCAAATTTACTGGATGTTCAATAATTAAATTGCGTTCAGTAGAGTCAACAGTTGAATGAGCGCTCGCTGCTATTGATATATTCTTCTAGATCTAAAATTCTGATTGGATGATTTAAAAGAATACACCAATAACAGTGAGTGCTCATTTAACTGTTGTCTGCTGAACACAGCCTATGAATCCTACAGCGCGTGAATGTCAATTCCAAACGCAGCCAAAGTGAAAATTAACTGAGCAATTCACTCGAATCTTTATCATTTCATTGATCATCTAGTGAATTTGCTTACTTTCGTAATTTTCATCTCGTTTCAAAATACACAATTGGTTCCCCAGGTTTAGGATTTGAATCACAATTTGGTCACAATTTTTTCAGTGGGTCAGTACTCTATGGTGTGTATACCTCATGACTTATCGCAATTGGGGAAAATGGCTGATGATTCGTCGAGACGTGTTTTGACAATTTTAGTTGCCTGAGCCGCCTGAGCCTGATGATCGACTGTGATCGAGGAAGAGTTACGTCGTGGTGGGAAGCATAATTTCCGTGATATTTCTAGCGGTGATATCGTCGTGATGTAAAAGCCAGCAGTGCATTCGCTCAGCACATCCTGTTAATCGTCTGCTTATCCCGTGCGTAACTCGTTTTAAACGTGCTCCGACTTGTTTCTACTGTCAGGAGACATTTGTCGAAAGAATGATATCATCTCTTTTTTTTCAATAATGACATCTGTACGTGAAACGAGTCACTATCGATAAGTAGTAATGTAATACACGAATGTATGTGTGCGTGCATATATGTGCATTACTATGAGCGAATCTATAAGACTCGGCCTGTCATTTTTTCATTTGAGGTATCGTTTTTTCGTTCACGATTATCACGCATGATACAGTATCTATGCTTGACTCAATAATACAACGAGAATATATCAATATGTATCTTTATTCCTGAATTCATTTTAATACTAAAAAGCATCATTTATTTGAATACATATATAGATATCTGTTACATATTAAAACTATAAATTTTCATGAATAAGTATTTCTCTATATAGTAGACACGTTACACAGTGATTTTTATCATTCGTATAGGTGAGCATGCGACAGACCTACTGCATTCTCTGACGTAAGATCCTCCACGTGGCTAGGTGGATATAAAACTTGTGAAAAGTCGGAGTTGCATCATGCCGAATTAAAGATTCCAATGTATATCTTGTACAGTTTCTACAATCATGGTGTAGACAAGGGATCATTAAGGCAATAAAATGCCTGCCATGCAAATTAATAATGGGACAGCACTTTGCTAGTCTCAGAGACTTCTTTAGAATGGATGGTGAAAGACAGCCTACTGAGATATGCGCTAACGCGCTTAGCAACCCATTACCCTTGGATATGATAAATCGAGATGGCAATGAAAGTTTGCCCGATAACGAGACTAATGGCAATGTACCTGTAACGAACCCTAATATACTGCCGAATAGATCAGAATGTAAACTAGAAGGGAATTTGGACAACGATCGTTTAAACTTAGATGTAGACAACCATAATTCTAGATTTGAATCTTTGTATAGTCAACCTGTTGAAACTCAGGATACAAAGCAAGTTTGTAACAATGGTAATGTTACGAGCGAGCCATCATTTAGACAACAACAGGAAGCATGTTGTAGTAGTTCTGGTGGTAGTAACAGTAGTAGCAGTTCTGAAGATAGTCCTGTAAATCCACCTTTAAGAAGATCCTCTAAAACTTTGTCATTTGGGAAGAGAAAAAGTATGTGTATTAAATTAATTTTTCATATACATATTGTAATTTTGTACAAACGATAACTCAAACTAATTTGTTCACATTAGATAAACAGCGCAACAAAGATCAAAGCCCAATATGTAATCACGTTTTATCATCGAAAAAGAAACGTAGCAACTGGGTATTGAAATTCAATTGCGCCAAGAGCAAAAGCTCAAAAAATACTGACATTATTCCCGGCCAAGGGAATGGTAACTCGGATTGTATATGCACCGGTTATAGGAGAACAGAGGAGCATCCTATGGGTGCGGGTATCGTGTTTAATAGTCGATCCGCTCCGCAAAGTCCCGTTCTCGGGCCTTTGCCACCGAGTCCCGTAATTGATTTATCGCGATTTAACCCCGAAGAATATCCTATGGAAGTACGTGTCAATGAAGTATATAACAAATTTTTATATTTTTTTAAAAGAAATTTATGAAAATTTGATTTTACTATATTAATTTTTTTGTTTTTAAAGGATTGTGACGAACGTGCTCGAATGCAACGCGCACGAGAGATGGAGGAAGGCGTTGAGCCTCCTCCCGGTTATAGGCCTAATTATCCTACGAGTATACAAGTTCATCCCAACGGAATAACAGTGGACAGTTTAGCGGCATTGTTCCAAGCACATGCCGGTATTCAAGCTGCCGCTCTTACAGCCTTATCCCAAATCGACTTTACATTAATTCCAAATATCGAAAGACCTGCACACACGCAAGTAAGTCCTTTTTTATTCAAATTTATTTAACATTTATATAAAAAATCATAAATTCTATCGATCCTTTATGAAATAAATTTATATGCTAAAAAATTAAAATTATAACAAATACAAGTATACATATAAAATTTTATCAGTAAGAACACAATTGGGATATAAAAAATGCAGAGATCAACATCAGACAAAAATTAACTTTTAATTTAGAATTATTTGATTCTTAAAACGAAAAGAAAATTTCATTTTATCACAACCATTACAATCAGTCTGAATTAAAAATGATGGTAGTAAATTAATATGATACATTTTTTTGTTTTTCTGGCATGCATACATTCAGTCTCTAAAATATTAGTATATATTTATAATTCATGTTATATATTCACTGTTTTGCTGTTTTGTAATACAGGTCGATTATGTCCATTGTCTGGTGCCGGACTTAAGGTCGATTACAGCCTGCTCTTTCTATTGGGGTAAGATGGATCGTTACGAAGCAGAACGTTTATTGGAAGGCAAGCAAGAGGGTACTTTTTTGCTGCGAGATTCCGCGCAAGAAGAATTTTTGTTTTCCGTGAGTTTCCGTAAATATGGACGCTCATTACATGCCCGGATTGAGCAATGGAATCATAAGTTTAGTTTTGATTCACATGATCCAGGAGTTTATGCTTCCGAAACAGTACGTATATGTATATTTATTCGCATTTATTTCATATTTGCATTTCATTCCAATAATCGATAAACAGGATATAATCATGATTGGTATATATCTTTACAGGTATGCGGTTTAATCGAACATTATAAGGATCCCTCATGTTGTATGTTTTTCGAGCCCATGCTCACTATCCCGTTACATCGGAACTTCGCATTTCCGCTACAGCACCTGTGCAGAGCGGTGATAACCACGCGAACAACGTACGATGGCATAAATAAGCTGCAGTTGCCAAAGACACTTAAGAGCTATCTCAAAGAATATCACTATAAACAGAGAGTACGAGTCAGACGATTAGACACGGAAAATGATTCACACACGGATTGTAGATCCATATCATGTTTACCGATATGAATCTCTTCGTATTAATATTCGATAGAATTTTATTATATGTTGCATAATTATGTTTCTTTACCTATATTTACAGAGTTGTACTGCCGTATCAAATACGAGCGGTACATGCATATAACATTGTAATATCAGGAATATCATCACTCTGACACACAGTTATACAAAATATCATTGCAATATTAGCAATAAAAGAATTGTATTCGTCTTAAGCGATACTAGATACTGGGGGAGATGGCGTAGTATAATTAAAAAAAAATATGAAAAGAGGAAAGATAGGACTTGTGCGATTTCGCGCGCGACAAGTGTCTATATTTATTTGGTGAGGTCTAGTAATCTTCTATGTAAATACATCAGGAAGGC